ACTATAATAATTGGCTATAAGTCAAGGTTTTGTATTCAGTAGACAAAGTAAACTTAAGTTTCTAAATGTTGCTTCCAAGCTCGATGTGAAAATAGCATTTTAGATAAAAAAATAAATTTAAATGTTTACCCTAGTTGCACTTACTACCACTGAGCGGTGAGCTTCATAGCGATGAACGTAATAAAATATGTCAAATGTAGACTTTGTGGAGTTAGTATGGTTATTTCAAACACACGTGATGTAAACAATAGCGTGCATAATAAGAACTGAACAAGTTTTACAACTGATCTCGAGTTGTGACAGCTTCAGTTTGAAAATAAGCTCTGCTAAGACGAAGGTCTGGATAACCGATTCCCAGATTGTTACGTTTACTGAATGTATTAAAGAAAACCTAAAAATGCAATATATAAAGGAACATAAAAACACGTTTGCCTACCCTATTCTGCTTAATAAGCTTTAGTTGACTTTAGATTTATAAGAAAGAAAAAACAACAAGACTTTAAGAGGCTTCAAGTATTTATATTTTCCAGAAATCGATATAACTGAAATAATATCCTATAACCTGGTCTACAATCTTTGCTGGTAGAAATCGGTTAAGCTCAAAGATGCAAATAAAAAGAAAAACGATACTGGAAGAAACGATCCAAGCTGTAAAATGTAAACCGAATAAAAGTAAGTAACTTTAAGAACAGAAACCAGTCAAGTGTACAAATGTAAGCTTATCATAAATTAAGGCTTGGCAGAAACCGGTCAAATGCAGAAATTTAGGCCTATCCTAAATTAAATGTGGTTTAAAACAGTCAATCTAACATTTCTAAACTTTAACAGAGGTGTTCGAACTCGATCCACCTAACAGTTGATATTTAATGTAAACAAAAACACCTTAATGTCAAAAAAAGGTGCGATCAAAAAGGATTGAGCGTACGACTTAAAGAAATGAAATCTAAAATTGACGACCAGACTGGTAGCTACACTTATAACGTTGATAAGAATTTTACAGCAAATATTCATTCATTAATTAGCCAGGCCGCGTGTATTATTCAACTTGGGACATGATGGTGAGTAAAACAAAATATGCGACCTAGGTAACTAATGAATGAATATGTGCTGTAAAATTCTTATCGATGCTATAAGTGTAGATACAAGTTTGACTGTCAATTTTGATTTCATTCCTTTAATTCACACGTCGAATTCTTTTTAGACCGCATCTTGTTTTCACACTTAAAGTGTTTTTGATTAGATATCATGACATTTGACATACACACTAACAAACTGAAGCAAATAAGAAAGTGAAACTCGATAGTTATCCACATTAGCTTTAGGATCGCAACCCTATTATTCGGAACAGACCTTTACTTTACAGAACCAACCATATTCTTTAAAATATATATGGTGGAAGTTTTTCCTCTCTAACACTGTGTTAATAATTTCGCAGAATTTGGGAATCCCGATTTCGACAGTCAACAGAATCATCGTACAATTCAGGAAACACGGCAAGGAAACAACTGAGCAGTGTCCGGGTCGTCCTGGTCCATCGGAGAGGACAAAAGGGCTGTCAAAAGGAGCATCGAAATGGATCCCACATTAACGACTGCAGAAGTGGCCAAAGTTGGTGGTATAAGCCC